CGGACTATGAGGTCAGGAGTTCAAGACCAGCCTGGCCAAGATGGTGAAACCCCATCTCTACTAAAAATATAAAAATTAGCCAGGCTGAGTGGAGCATACCTGTAATCCCAACTACTTGGAAGGCTGAGGCAGGAGAATTGCTTGAACTCTGGAGACAGAGGTTAGAGTGAGCCAAGATTGTGCCACTGCACTCCAGCCTGGGAGACAGAGTGAGACTCCCTCCCTGGTGGCTCAAACCTGACGACTCTCCCAGAAGAAGCTGTGACAGCCTCTTGGGGCTCCACAGTTGCTGGAGTCTCCTAGTTTTAGGGTCCTGCTGCATCCCCCTCATCCAGATGCCAGTGTCCAAGGCAGAAGCCAGTTGCAACAAGCCTGGACCAGCCATGGGCTGAGTGCAGAGCCAAGGGGTCATGGTATCTGGGCCGATAGTGTGAGCTGAGCACAGCCTGCTGGACTGAGTGGGCAAAGCAAGCACATGGGGTCAAGTAAAGCCAGTGTAGAGGTGCTACTGGCCACAGAGTTTTCTGGCTGTCAAAGCGGCGCGGAAAGAATTCGGTGCCATATTTAGCTAGAAATGTTCTTAACTCTCCCACAACATGCTAGCCTGCTGCTTCCTTTCCCTGAGCCTCAGTTCTCTCACTGGTAAAATAGGCTATTGGGCTAGGTACTCAGCTTTTGCACTGTAATATGGAGATTTAGCATCCCTGGAAGGTGCTCCAGGAGTCAATGTATGGAAAGGGAATGGCCGAGTAATTTTGATTCTTAATTCATCTCTATGGATTTGTACACATCATTTTCTTTATATAGTGAAATTTAGCATAATACATTATTTGCAACATTTTGTTATTACAAAAGCAGCTTGAAAGCCACTTGAATAGAATTTATAAGCATATATTCAGCTTGAATATATTTTGATTGTATTAGACACACAATAAAAAGAATTTATTTTATTTTCCCAGAGTCTGAATTGGTGAGGAACAAAAATAGAAGTTACAACAACTTGTTGGCAGCCCCTTTTTTTTGCCACCCAAATATCTTAAGAACTGAAACTTGAGAGGTCTGTACTTTCCATGGTGTAAATATACATGGAAGTTTCTTTCCTGTTCTTCCTGGATACTCTCTATCCAGGATAGAGATTTTTCTACATTTGAGCAAAGCAAAAAGCCAGAATCTTAAGACCTGGTGCTGGTGGTTTCTTCTAAGGAATGGGTGTTATCTTCAGCCTCTTTTGAGTATGATGTCAGATTGCTCAAGGTCCTCCATCATTTTGGCCATGTGTAAATTCTGTGTCATTTTTCAAGCCACATATCTGCCATACCAAATACTGGTACTCCTTGAACTACAGACCAGTTTCTGTGTTCTTAGTGATACACAATTTTTTATTTCTCTACTGGAAACTACCTTCGTTGTTATCACAACATTAATCTTCATATATCTGTTTCAGCACATTCCCAGTTTGCCTTGGATTATAAAATATTTGTATAAAAATTCTTTGGAATCCACTTAGAGTTTTAAATCATGGTTCCATCCTTTACTAGTTGTGAACATCTATGCAAGTCACTTACTCTCTCAGAGCTACAGTTTCCTTGTTTGTAAATGAGAAAAGTATAAATTTTTACGTGTCATCACAGAAATTAAATACAGTAATGCATCTAACGAACTGTGCAATGCCTGACACACAGCAGACCAATAGAATCTTGTAATGCTAGCTGGTTTCCTCAACAACAAATCATATTTAATAAAAATATGTATTCTTGATAGTAAAAGCAAAATATAGCCAATAAAATATCATAAACTATTCTTTGGTAGGTACTTCATTCATTAAACTGGAAAAGCAGCAGAACACTCTCTATTGGGAGACAATTTTCCATGAGTCTCTTGCGATGCTCATATCTTGTGAGTACTGTCATTAAATGACATTTTGTTCCAGAGTATGTTTTCAAGGATTTTATATAGCAAACAACCTTGGAAAATATGGATAGTATCACCAGGGCAAGTTTGTTTAGTATCTAGTGCAACAGATAATGTCTTTTCCCAGACCAATGTTTGGAAAGGCTTACTTATATTTTATTATATATTAAAAAATTGCATTCACTAAGCTGAGGCTCTTCACTGTAATGCTAATCCACTCTATGCACAGCTTTAACTGGGTCTCTGAGGGTTGCCTCCATGAGACTTGTAAGACAAGGAGAACTGATGCAAAAATGAGATGCATGCTAATTACCGTACAGGACATTAGTAATAAAGTCCTGTGTCTCTGATCCAGGAGTCTCATGTCTTCTGCCAGCATCCATTAAATTGTGATTTGTTAATTGTTAGTTGGTTAGTAAGGTAAAGATCTCAGAACCTTCACTGTTGTTGGGATACCTGATCTGATAATGTTATGAAAAGTGATTTAGAGAAAACAACCTCAATGTCCATCACCAAAATGTGGTACATCCACACAATGGGATATTATGCAGCCATAAAAAGAAATACAGCACTGTTGCATGCTACGAAATGGGTGAACCTTGAAAACCTTATGCTAAATGCAAGAATCCAGAAACATATTGTAAGATTCTATTTATATTACATATTCTTAAGAAGCAAATCCATAGAGACTGAGAATAGGTGAGTGGTGGTCAGTGTATGGGAAGAGGGAGAAATGAGACTGGCTGCTAATAGGTACTGGGCTCCTTTTTGGGCTGATGAAAATATTCTGCAATTAGATAATGGTAACGATTACACAACATAGTAAAAATGTAAAAGAGAAAGAGACAGAGACAGAGAGACAGAGAAAGAGACTCATTTGCGTTCCTGAAAAAGCAGGGGTTAGGGGCCCTCAGACAAAGCTTTAAATCTTGGGTATTTCTTTTGCCATTAGTGTCAACTCTATAATCTCTCTTCATCTCATTCTTTATATTCACAAGTGATCAATTAATACCCACTCACAGGTTCATTATGTATATGAACTCACAGGTTCATTGTGTATATGAAACCTGAAAATGTCTTAGTGGCTGATTCAGAGTTGATGTCTGTTAATTAGTGACTGTAAAGATGAAAATGGCAACAATTTCTTCAGAAAATAAATTAACTAAAAAAAAAAGTGGCTACACTTCTAATACACGCTGCCATATGCTTACAAATGCATATCTAGAGTTACAGTGAGTCTACTGTATATTTGTAGACATATTTCTCTTACCAACGTTTAAATAAATACATTTTAAAAATAGGGTTGTTTATGTTTCTACTAGTAATTGGAAGAATCCATTCTCATGCACAGTTCTATAGTAAAGATAATACACTGTCAACAGAATTTACATGCGAATAACTCTTTAGTGTGCTTTACTTGGGAGATGTTGGATAATTAAATCATCCTGAGAATACATTTCTAATAGCTTCTCTGTTTCTGGATCTTGCTCATTTTAAGAAGTGGTATATCATTTTGTAATCAAGGTGGCAATGTCAGAAAGCCTTGTTTTATTTTTTTTAATCATTGTATTTTTTTTAAATGGTGAAATTCTTTCATTCATAAGACTGAGATAGACTGATGAAATGTATTTCATGATGGTGAAATATAATTGGATGGAAACAACAGCAGTCCGTAGAGTAGTTGAGTATTAGACTGTGGTGCATTTTAATAAGTAAAGCCAACTTTACCTATATTCATTATAAATGATGCAGATTTTTACATAGTTGTGAAAATTCCAAATTGACTTTAGTCAATTGGTGCTTTAAAAGTATTTAAATATTATTTGAGAGTATCAGAAATGATAGTTATTCCTCATGGAATTTGAAATAGAACCATCAGAGCCAACACCTCACCTGCTGGATGACAATAGGGAGGTGAGTGAGGCAGGGTGACCGAGACAAAGAAATAAAGACCTGGCAAGTCTGGTTAGCAAAGGGTAAGAAAAAGAGCATCAATGGACTTTAAATGATGCAGAGGCCAAGAGAGATCAGTGTGTGAAAGGGAGGTGGGGGGAAAATAATCAACATTTTTAAAGGGTAGAGAATGTGTTTCTGTTTTCCTTTACCTTTTCTCATTCAAATCCCATTTTTCAAGATCTTTTTTTCTATTCATTTTCTGTCCTTTATTCAGTGTTTTTCCCTCTTAATGCCTCCCAGGCTACCACCTGCTGTACTTGTTTCTCTACATATCATTTTTCATCATCCAGTCTTTTATTTCTTTTCCAGTTTTTGCCTCAAGCCAATTTCCCAAATTAGATCTAGGGGCTTAGTTTCTCAACATCTCACTTGGGAGTGTCCAGGCAGGGGCCCAAGCTGGAGGCAGCCAGGAGTGAGGGGCGTGGGCAGGAACTCTATACCTGCTTCAGTTCAATGCTTCTTGGATGCAGGCAGCCTTGGGGGCTGCAGGAAGGGTCCTTGGAGAGAGTTTCACTGTGCCAGTTTTAAATGCTGCCTAGGTCTGGTGCTTTAGTCCCTCACACAATGACTGCAGACCCTGACACAGTTCCAAATATACTGCGTTGAATGAATACAATGTCAAAGGAAGACGCAGCTGCTTTGGAAAAGGCATTGTGGCCTTGATGCCTGTCTCCAACTCTGTGTAAACACTTACCTTCTTAGGTGATATTCCAAAGCTCAGTCCATATTGTGAAAGTCTGAGATACAAGAATATATTTTTTTTAAATCCTTTAAAATACAATTTAAAATTTTAGTAGAGGTACAATTATTTTTAATAATTATGTTTGCATTGCAAGTAAAAATGATTTTGCAATTATGGAAGTATATTAGTGTCTAGGGCTGTTGTAACAAAGTATCACACATTGGATAGTTTAAACAAGAGTAATGTATTTTCTTTAAATACATTTAGGGACACCTTACTTATGTGCCTGCATCTAAATTTTTTCTTATGAACACATTAGTCATATTGGATTAGGAGCCACCTTAATGTCTTCATTTTAACTTAATTATTTCAAAAAAGACCCCCATCTGCAGAAAGTCATATTCGAGGAAATGGGTGTTAGGATTTCAACATATGATACGTATATATAAAATGTCAGACAGGTAATGTGCCAACATTATAATAACATTAGCGAGAGGCACGTCTCACACGTAAGCACTGAAACACATCATCACGTTTATGTACAACAGGATTATGTATAATTTTTTGAGGGGAATGCAATTCATTCCATAACAGGTGGTGACATAAAATTTTATTTTAAAACATTTAAATATTTTAGCTAAAAATTAAGTAAATATTAAGTATAAAGCACTAAATAAGAATGAATGAATTCTCCTCTCAAACATTTTAGCTAAAAGTTATTAAGTAAATATTAAGAATAAAGCACTAAATAAGAATGAACTCACCTCTAATTAAAAATTATGTCAGTAATGCAGTAGAATATAACTAACAGAAGTTTGTCACATGCAGATCTAGTGAAATTTCATATTTAAAGTCATTTAATTACCTAAAATAGTACCTGGCACTCTATAAATAGTTGTTGAACAAATAAAGAAATCCCTTGGGGTAGACTCAGAAGAAAATAGTGAGAAGAATGGTGAAATTAGAAAGAAGTCCTATTAAACAGCCAGATAGAAAAGTCAACTTCAACCAACATCCCCCAGCTCACATTGTGGAGAAAATATATCATGTGATCATTTGCTGTAAATCCTCTTTACCAGGATAGATGTTAACAAAAAATATTTTTAAAAGATGTGTTTCTTGTCTTTGAAAGCGTTACAACCTAGTAGAAGAGAAATAGGCTCATGTAGAGGTCTACACAAGGCTACGTATATATTTACCACATTAAAATATAAAATCTTCCCCTCCCAGAGAGAGCCATTTAATGTGACTATTGTCTGTTTTAAATATATGATCAAAGATTTCCCTGCCTTGGTGAACTGCCTTTTACTTCCCTTTGTCTCTTTTTTTTTTTTTTTTTTTTTTTTGAGACGGAGTTTCGGTCTTGTTACCCAGGTTGGAGTGCAATGGCGCAATCTCGGCTCATCGCAATCTCCGCCTCCTGGGTTCAGGCAATTCTCCTGCCTCAGCCTCCTGAGCAGCTGGGATTACAGGCATGCGCCACCATGCCTAGCTAATTTTTTGTATCTTTAGTAGAGACGGGGTTTCACCATGTTGACCAGGATGGTCTCGATCTCTTAACCTCGTGATCCACCCGCCTCGGCCTCCCAAAGTGCTGGGATTACAGACTTGAGCCCGGCCCCCTTTTTCTCTTATGTTACTCAACGGTGTAACTAGATATTCCACCTCACATCCACATTCTTATCCCCCCATCTAAGTTTGGATTTCATAAACACACACACACACACACACACACACACACACACACACACACACACACGTGTGTGTGTATGTGTTTATGGAATCCAAATGCTCTCTCTCGCTGTACGAATCCAAACACTCTCTATCTCGTATAAGAGAGAGAGAGAGAGAGAGAGACTGTCACACTGTTGACCCAGCTAGAGTGCAAGGACACAATCTCAGCTCACTGCAACCTCCGCCTCCAGGATTCAAGCGATTATCCTGCATCAGCCTCCCAAGTAGCTGGGATTACAGGCGCCTGCACTACACCTGGCTAATTTTCTGTATTTTTATTAGAGACTTAGTTTCACTATCTTGGCCAGGTTCGTCTTAAACTCCTGACCTGGTCATTCGCCTGCCGTGGCCTCCCAAAGTGCTGGGATTACAGGCGTGAGCCACCACGCCTGGCCATAAAAATATATTTCTTTTTGCTTTTTTTGTAATTTCTGCTCAACTAATATTCTTTTTCATATATGTCATATAGGATAAAATATATCATATATATATGATTCACTTCTCAGTTTAAGAAAATTGTTTCTCAAATTGTATTAGTATCTATAAGTTTAGGCAAATTTGGAATCTCTCACTTTCTATTTCCAAATAATCTAAATAATCAGCAATTGAATGAAGGAGAGAGTTTAATAATGTAGTACATAAATAAATAAATATATTATAAAGATAATAAGAGCTACAGCTCATGGACCTAAATCTACTAGTTGTTCATGAGGAAACAATGGAATATAATAGCTAACAAGGCAAATAAATTGCGTTTCCAGCATAAAATATTTATTTCAAAGAAAAATGTACAGTTACAACAAGAAAAGTGGTGACACAAACTAAGTGTGTTATGTTTTTAGCATCTTCTGACCCAAATTACACAACATCTTGTTTAACTATTCATATTTTTTATAATGTTAAACAGGAATTCTTATATGTTGCTGGTACAAGTCTAAACTAGAATTTCTCTTTTGAATAGCATCTATGTAATATATATTAAATATTACATATATCTATGTAATAAATATTAAAATTAATATTGCAATAGAATCTACTCAATGATCAATCAAGCAGTAAATAGGAAAAAAATTATTGATCCACATAATAACACTGATGATTTTCAAATGCATTGTGCTAAGTGAAAGAAGGCAGACTACAAAGACAATCTTCACTCTATGATTTAATTTAGGTGACTTTCTTGTAAGCACTAATCTGTATGGACAACAAAAAATTTAATGTTTGTATGGACTAAACACGGAAGGAGGTGTTGATTTTAAAAGGAGCATGAGGGATCATTTGAAATGATAAAAGTATTCTCTACTTTTATTATTGTGATTTCTACACCACTAAAAGAGTTTGTCAAAACTCATAGAACAGTAAGCCAAAGAGAGTGAATTTTACTATGGTAATTATACCTCAACTAACCTGACAATACAATTTAAGAAAAAGGCTGGCAAATTGGGGATTAAAAACAAGCACTCCGTAAGTGTAAAGACATCAACAGGCATTTTATAAAAGAATAAATGAAGAAATTAAAGTCATTCAACCTCATTGGTAATCAAACTTAAAATTTAAAATGATAATTTGATTTAGTTTACCATAAAATCTGGTTTATGCCCTGGAAAATATATTTTTATACATTTATAATAAGCATAAAATTTGTCAAAATGTTTAAATGAGGAAGTACAGCAATATGCATCATAATCTTAAATTATATATGCATTTAGATCCAGCAGATACACTAGGGAAAAAGAGGCTTTAAATATTCCAACATGTATTAACAAAGATATTAATTCTAACAGGAGAAATAGGTAACATATTGAAAGTTCATAAAGAGAGCATGGACAAAAGTAATTCAGTACATTTATAAAGTGAAAAAGAATATGGACATCAAAATGAGAGTGTAGATATAAATTTTTTATTGGCATAGAGAGATTTTTTCAGGCTATTGTGGAAAAATTTTCAAAAAACAAAATATATAATTTGTACCTGTGTTAGGCTATTCTTACATTGCTATAAATACCTGAAACTGGGGAATTAATAAAGAAAAGAGATTTAATTCACTCACAGTTCTTTGGGCTGTACAGGAAGCATGGTGCTAGCATCTGATTAGCTTCTGGTGAGGGTTTCAGAGAGCACTTATTCATAGAAGAAGGTGACAGGGATCCAGCACATCACATGGTCAGAAAGAGAGAGAGTAAGGGGATTTCCCAGACTTTTAAACAACCAGACCTCATGTGAGCTAAGTGAGCAAGAACTCACTTATTACCAAGGGGATGGTACCAACCATCCATGAGAGATTTGCTCCATGATCAAATCACATTCCATTAAGGCTCCAACTTCAACTTTGGAAATAATATTTCAAAAAAAGATTTGGAAGGGAAAAACCATCCAAACCATATCAGTACCTTATGATCATTTTTCAGGCGTATATACACACACACACACACACATATATATGCACACACACATATATATATATGCACACACATATATATATGCGCATATATATTTATATATATAATTTTATTTTATTTTGAGACAGAGTCTTGCTCTGTCGCCAGGATCCAGGCACCAGGCTGGAGTGCAGTGGCGAGATCGCGGCTCACTGCAACCTCCGCCTCCCGGATTCAAGCAACTCTCCAACTTCAGCCTCCCGAGTAGCTGGGACCACAGACACGGGAACCACCATGCCCAGCTAATTTTTGTATTTTTTAGTAGAGATGGGGTTTTACCATGGTCTCCATCTCTTGACCTCGTGATCCTCCTGCCTCAGCCTCCCAAAATGCTGGGATTAAACCACACCCGGCTGCAGGCATATATTTTAAGTGCATGTAAAGATCTATCTATCTATCTATCTATCTATCCATCATCTATCTATATGTCTATCATCTATCTATCTACCTACCTACCTACCTACCTACCTATCTATCTTGATATAAATACAAATATATAACAATAATTTGTCCTTATTTATACCACTATCTATATCTTCCTAGATACTGCATACATACATATCTATAGATATAGATAGATATAGATATAGATCCTTAAAAAAGTTCAAATAGTACACATCATGTTATTTTCTTAATTTGACTTGCATCGACTTTCTGAGTAATTTCCTATATTATTTTATTCTGTATGTAGGGTATACAACCAGATCATGATGTTGAGGCTCAGTAAATTATACCCCAGAGTGTGATTTGTTGGCATGCTGAACACTTTGAATTGTAAAAAAAAAAAAAAAAAAAAGAAAAAAGAAAGACCTTAGAATCTGCCTCAAAATCAAATATTCTCCAATTTGCTCTTGTCTCACTGCCCCCAGTTCTCTTTGGAATTTACTTAACTGAGTGAGGAAACTTCTTTCCAAAAGAAATGCAATTTTCTCAAGACCTCCTCCCTAGGAATCTCATTAAATAAACAAGAAAGATTTAGTACCTGAGAAAAAACAGAAAGCTGCGACCATGCCCAGACAGACTTTTGATTGATTCTCTTGAGTACAGCTATGAGAGATCATCTTAAGAGACTTTATCTGCGTAATAAGATGCCTTTGTATGCAGCACAGTGCTGCCCCTCATCATACCACTACTTCCATTCAGCTTCCACAGAGAATCATTTAAAAACCGTTGTCTGGTCTTTGAGCTCATTTAATTTCTCTGAAAATAATCTACTGCTCCTCAAAATTGCCAATATCCCCCATTTTTTCTTTTCTTTATAAATAGGGCACTTAAGCCTAAACTATCTAGGATGGGTTTTTTTGAGTATCACTGTTACAAGACTCCTGTGTCTACATGCGTGTTAATAAGTGTATATGCCTTTTCTGTTTATTTGTCTA